ACATATGCGGAATGATTTTATTTATGTGCATTTATTTGTGTGTCCTGGGGCCCCTTCACAGAAGACAGGGGAACAGCAGGGGACTCCTGGGACCTGTGTCTATCCAGTTGTGTGTCCCTGGGCCCCTTTAGGCATCTTCTTCTGCGTCGGGGGCACCTTCGCCCTGTTCCCCGCCGCCACGGCGGCCTACTTCGGCACGAAGCACCTGGGCCCCAACTATCCGGGCGACGTCGGCGAAGACCACCCCGCAGATCCTGGCCAGGGCTTGCCCTGGGCCCGGGCCCTGCCCGTGCCTGCGCCTCTCCGGGCCCGCGCCGGCCCCCCCCCCCCCCGGAGGGGTCCGGGCACGCCCGCCTATAGCCCAGGCGCCCCACGTGCCGTGGCCGCCGCGGAGCGGGGGCCCCCAGAGGAGGCCCTTGGCGCACTCCCCGGGGGCCGGCCCCGCCCCCCCCGCCCCGCTTCGTCCCCCACAGGGCGGGGCCGTCTCTGGGGCGCGCGCAGGACCCAGTGCGCGGGGCCCGCGGAGGAGGGGCCCCCCCCCCCCCCCCCCCCCGTGGAGCCGAAAACGGTGGCCGAGGGCCTCCCGTTTTTTTTTTTTTTTTTTTTTTGTTGTTGTTTTTTTTGTTTTTTCCACGGCTCGACGTCGCCCGAGCCATGGCCTGGTGTTCCTGGGGCAGTCCCTCGGGATGCTGCTGGCCCCGCGCGTGGCGGCCGCCGCCCTGCGGGGGGGGTCCTTCTCTCGAGGGAGCAAGAAGACAGCGGCATCAGCGCGCGGCCAAGGCGCCGAGAGAAGTCAAGCAGTGGCGAGGCGTCCCGGCCTGCCCTCAGGCACACCGAAGTCTGCTCTGAGAGCCATGTGTGGTGGTGGCGATGGTGGTGGTGGTGGTGGTGGTTGTTTTTGTTGAACTCTCATTCCTGAAGAATAACTATTGTTGATCCCCCCCCACCGGTGCAGACGGTTTTTTCTCAATCAAAGTGTGCCCCTCGACGTTCGCACCCTGTTTTTTCTAATCAGGGAAAGTCTTGAGGCTCAAACTGGGCCCCTGGCCCCCGGGTTACAACAGACTTTCTCACAGTGGCCCCGTTGCAGCCCTTCGTGGCCCCCTCGCTGCCCTTCGTGGCCCCGTTGCATCCCTTCGTGGCCCCGTTGCAGCCCTTCGTGGCCCCGTCGCAGCCCTTCGTGGCCCCGTCGCAGCCCTTCGTGGCCCCGTCGCAGCCCTTCGTGGCCCCGTTGCAGCCGTTCGTGGCCCCCCTCGCTTTGTTTCGTGGCCCCGTTGCATCCCTTCGTGGCCCCCTCGCTGCCCTTCGTGGCCCCATATACGTATGCCCTTCGTGGCCCCCGCTCGTTCGCGCCCGTGGTGGCCCCATATGCATGCCCTTCTTGGCCCCGCTGTCGCCCTTCGTGGCCCCCTCGCTGCCCTTCGTGGCCCCGTTGCTGCCCTCAGTGGTTCCGTCCTTGCCCTCCGCGGCCCAGTATACATATGCCCTTCGTGGCCCCCGCTCGTTCGCGCCCGTGGTGGCCCCATGTGCATGCCCTTCGTGGCCCCGCTGTCGCCGTTTGTGGCCCCCTCACTGTCCTACGTGGCCCAGTTGCTACCCTCAGTGGCCCCATCGTTGCCTTCTGTGGCCCTGCATTATCTGCCCTTCGTGGCCACTGCTCGCTCGCGATCTTCGTGGCCCCATACGCATTCCCTTCGTGTCCCCGCTGTCGCCCGTCATGGCCTACTTCGTGTCCTTGTGGCCCTGCTGTCGTTCTCTTATCGCTCTTCGCTTTCGGCTCGTTCGTCGTTCCGTCGTCGTCGCCGTCGCCGTCGTTGCCGTCGTCGTAGACGTCGTCGTCGTCGTCGTCGTCGTCGTCGTCGTCGTGGTCGGTCCCCTGTCCGTCCCTCTAAGGGTCGGGTCGACGGTCCGCGGCCGCCCCGCCGATCAGCACTGCCGCTGGCCAGGCCGACGGTCCGCGGCCGCCCCGCCGCTTGCCGGGGCCCGGCCTGCAGGGAAGAAAGGCATACCCCCCAAAAGGGGTTCGATCGAAGACGAAGAGGGCGGGTATCGAGGGTTTGGGAAATACGCGTTATTGGACACTCGAGCAGATAAGGGCGAACAGTCTTAAACTGATTGTTGTTGTTGTTGTTGTTGTTGTTGTTGTTGTTGTTGTTGTTGTTGTTGTTGTTGAACATTATTTATTCTAAAGAATAATTATTGTTGGGGCCCCTGGTGCGCGACCCCCTCGCCGCGCCTAGGCCGCAGCTACATTTTCATCATTTTCGTGAGGAAGCCTCAGGTAAAACGATGTGATCCAGATCCGGCTGTTTTGTTGTAATCCGTTTTCCCTTGCAAAAACACTATAAAATGACATTTCTTGTTCTAATATAATCAAATTTCAAGAATCCCTTGCAAAAAATAAGGTAAAGTGGACATTCGCGCTCGCAAGACGAAATCCTTCCAAAACCTTAGGTTTCGTAACGATTTTAACATAAAAACATCAAAAACCCAATGGTTTTTTAAGAAAAAATTGTCAAAATGTTCTTCCGCGCGCGCTGTCCGAATCCCACAAAACCAATGGTTTTTCAACATTTATGTTACATGAGCTCGCTCGAGCTACTTTTTCTTGTTCTAACATAATCAAATTTCAATAATCCCTTGCAAAAAATAAGGTAAAGTGGACATTCGCGCGCGCAAGACGAAATCCTTCCAGAACCTTAGGTTTCGTAGCGATTTCAACATAAAAACATCAAAAACCCAATGGTTTTTCAAAAAAAAATGTCCAAAATTCATCCCGCGCGCGCTGTCCGACTCCCACAAAACCAATGGTTTTTCAACATTTATGTTACATGAGCTCGCGCGACCTACTTTTTTTTGTTCTAACATAATCAATATTCCCTTGCAAAAAAAAAGTAAAGTGGACATTCGCGCGCGCAAGACCAACAAAAAACACGACGATCTCAGGAACTTGCCCCAAAACTGTGACCAACTCCGCTCTCTCTGTCTCTCTCTCTGTCTGCTCTCTGTCTCTCTCTCTGTCTGTCTGTGTCATGTATTGTATGTCACAATTGCAGGATGCTGGGCACACGCGCGCCCCGAATAAGTGACCAAGTTCTGTGGGTGAGTACCCCACGCCAGTGTAGTAGCCACGGTCGTCCGCACGCACGAAGTGAAGTGTCCCAACGTCATTGGGCGGGAAGCTGGGTTTGGGTGGTCGCGAAGAGTCGTTTGGATATTTGGTAGAGCTTGAACTGCCCCCCCCACGAAGTGGGGGTATTGTCTCGCGTCGCATGAAAACCCTGGCACTGGTGAGAACACTGAGCGTTCGGGTAAAATGATTGTTGTTGTTGTTGTTGTTGTTGTTGTTGTTGTTGTTGTTGTTGTTGTTGTTTTTGTTGCTTTTGTTGTTATTGCTGTTGTTGTTGTTACTGTTGTTGAATAGGGACGGGCGTCGTGCCCCGGGCTGCCCCCCCCCCCAAACAACAACAGCGACGCCGAGGGCTCCCGCCTGTGACTTTCACACAATCCACCGGCCCTATAGGATTCGCATAGGTGTTGTAAAGGATTCATAGGATTCCTATAGGATGCCTACAGGATTCGTCCAGGATTCATAGGACTCCTATGGGACTCATATAGGATTCGTATAGGATTCATCGGACTCCCATAGGATTCCCATATGATTCGTATCGGATTCCATCGGATCCCTATAGGGTTCCTACAGGATTCCTACAGGATCCATATAGGACCTATAGGATTCCTACAGGATTCGTATAGGATTCATAGGATTCCTATGGATTCCGATAGGATTCGCTTAGGATTCATAGAATTCCCAGAGGATTCCCATAGGATTCGTATAGGTTTCATCGGATCAGTACAGTGTTCCTGTGGGATTTCTGAAGGATTCATATAGGATTCATAGGATTCTTGTAGGAATTGTAATGATTCGTATAGGATTTATAAGATTCCTATGGGATTCCTTTAGGATTCTTAGGATGCTTATAGGATTCCTTTGGGATTCGTGCAGGATTCATAGGATTCCTTTGGGCTCCCCATCGGATTTCTACAGGATTCATGTAGGATTCATAAGATTCTTATAGGATTCTCATAGGATTCGTATAGGTCTCCTATCGGATTCTTATGGGACTCGTACAGGATTCATCGGATTCCTATGAGATTCCTATAGGATTCATAGAATTCCTGTAGAATTCCTATAGGATTCCCATGGGATTCGTATAGGTTTCATAGGATGACAGGGTTCCTATAGGATTCCTAGAGGATTCATATAGGACCTATAGGATTCCTATGGGATTCGTATAGGAATCATCGGACTCCTGTAGGATTCCCATCGGATTCGCATAGGATTCGCACAGGGTTATGGCATTCCTACAGGATTCCCATATGATTCGTATAGGATTCATAGGGTCCCTATAGTATTCCTATAGGATTCCTAAAGAGGATTCATATAGGATTCACCGGATTCTTATAGGAATCCTTAGGATTCGTATACGATTCATAGGATTCCTATGGGATTCCTTCAGGATTCTTAGGCTTCCTATAGGATTCTTTTGGGATTCGTATGTGATTCCTACAGTATTCTTATGGAATTCGTGCAGAATTCATTGGGTTCTTATGGGGTTCCTGTAGGATTCATTGGATTCCGATGGGATTCCGATGGGATTCGTATAGGATTCATAGGAGTCTTTTAGACGTCCTATAGGATTCCTACAGGATTCATATAGGATTCAGCAGATTCCCATAGGTTTCGCATCGGATTCATAGGATTCCTATGGGATTCCGATGGGGTTCATATAGGATTCATGGAATTCGCATAGGATTCTAAAAGGATTCGTATCGGATTCATAGGAACACTATAGGGTTCCTATAAGATTTCTGCAGGGTTCATATAGGATTCATCGGATGCCTATAGGAATCCTAAGGATTCGTATAGGATTCTTAGGATTCCGAATGGATTCCGTAACAGATTTTTGCGATTCCTATGGGGTTCCTTTTGAGATTCGTGCCGGGTTCATAGGGTTCCTGTATGCTTCCTATAGGATTCCCACAGGATTCATATAGGATTCATAGAGTTCCCACAGGATTCCTATAGGATTCGTATAGGATTCATTGGATCCCTACAGGGTTCCTATAGGATTCCTACAGGATTCATTTTGGATTCGTGAGATTCCTACAGGAGTCCGAAGGATTCGTATAGGATTCAGAGGATGCCAATGGGATTCCGTAAAGATTCTTGCGGCTCCTATAGGGTTCTTTTGGGATTCGTACAGGGGTCATCGGACTCCTTTAGGCTTCCTATCGGGTTCCTGCAGGATTCGTATAGGATTCGTCGGATTCCTTCAGAATTCTCATATGATTCGTATAGGACTCCTATAGGATTTTATGGGATTCGTACAGCATTCATGTGAATCTTATAGGATTCCCATAGGATTCACTGGATGCCTATCGGGTTCCTATGGGATGTGTGTAGGATCCATATGGGTATCATCGGATTCCTATGCGATTTCCGAAAGAGCGTGTTCTACCGCTGCTGGCGGAAAACCGGGGGGGGTCACTACCGGTTCGAACCCCTCCCCCCCCCCCCCCCCCACCCCCCTCCGGAAAACCGGGGGGGGTCACTACCGGTTCGAAACCCCTCCCTCCCCCCCCCCCCTGTTCATCATGAAAAGGGGGGGGGGGTCACTACCGGTTCGAACCCCTCCCCCCCCCCCCTCCGGATCCGGAAAACCGGGGGGGTCACT